CCCCAAAACCCCAAAACCCCAAAACCCCAAGACCTAAAGCAACTATTGAAATAATATTTTAATTTGAAACATCATACCACCTAAATATGGACGATTCAAAGCAAGAAAGCATCAAACAACCCAAAGATGATAACTCTAAACTTGTCAAAGAATTTCAAAAAATGATAAATGAGGATGAGAAGTTAAAACAATTCGCACAAGAGAAATTCCCAGACATGATCGGCAAGGAAGCTGTTAAAGAAGAAACCCCTGCTGATGAGAAGCCAGAAGGAGATAATGAGGAACAGAAGAAGGCGGATAAGGACCTAGAGTCTATTATTGACATGAGAATACTTGATATGCTTCGTCTTTTAGAGGAGTACAGAAAGAAATGAATCCATGTAGATGATGATTATGTAGAAGCTCAAAGAGCAGAAGAGAAATTCAAGAAGACTTTAAATAAAGCAACTAAGAAGCAAAGAGCTCAAATTCAAAGTTTTCAAGAGAAAGAACTCAAGAGTATTGAAGCGACTCAGAGGCAGCAGTTTGAAGAGTTCTCAAAAGCATGGGATGAATATATGTAAGCATTTCTCCTAATCTTCTAGGGCTGATTATGAAGCTACTGCTTTCCTCTCTCTTGAAAAGTTAAAAGAAAGACAGATGAAAGAATACGAAGAATTTAAAGCTAAACATGACAAAGAAGTCAAGAAGAAAATGAAATTTAGTAAAGATATTCTTGACCTCAGACACAAGCAGGAGAAGCTAATTAAACTTCAACAATACGAAAAAGCTGAAGATCTTGGTGGTATTACAAGTTATATTAACTGTACCCTATAGAGAAAGCAGACAGGCTGGAGAAAAAGGAAAGGCAAAAAATTGAAAAGCAACTGAAGAAGCAATGGGTAAACAGTAAAAACAAACTTAAAGCCAGTCAGGAAAAAGCCCTTACTGCCTTACTCAAGCGAATTCAGAGAGATAAGAATGAGCAACTGAGGCAAAGACATGAGGACTCTCAGAAATTAATTAAAAGAAATAGAAACTTAGTGACTAACCTCCTTTATAAGCAGAATATTGAGACTAAGAAAGTAATCGACCAGGTAGAGCAAACTTTGAGAATGACAAAAATGGACAAGCTGTTTACTCCAGATATGGTAAGAAGGGATTCAATAATTTTATAGTCAAGGTATAAGACAGCTTTACCATGCAAAAGGAAGAAAATAAAATAATTCAATCCTAATTTAAACTTAAGGGGTTTTGGGGTTTTGGGGTTTTGGGGTTTTGGGG